TACAAAATCGGAGGGGGGAATTTCCCCGGAGTCTGTCTGCCAGCCAGCCACGGCCCGCTGCTGCGTTGGAGTGCAAGCCCCGATACAGCATCAAACTGGCGGGATGCCCAGCAATGCTTATTTTTTCAAGTGTCTCATATATGGGACACCCGTCACTAATGGGTTAAATACAGTAAACCTTCAGCTAACAGACTTCAAAACAGATTTCAACTAAATTGCTAAGAAGTAGCTAAAAGTGATCAAGGTGAGAATCAAGTCAGCTTCTCTGGGTATATAATCTTTTGGAAGTTAGACTTTGTACAGCTTATAAAGATATCTCCCAGGACTAACAGACCTAGAGTAAATGTTTTAGCATACTGCAAGAGGACATCATGATCATGCAGCCAGGATCAATCAATAGGATACACTGGGTTATCATAATAACACTGTGTAAGTATTATCATACAGAAATGGTTACAAAAATTCTTCTTATCCATACTATGACCTATTCTGGGCTCATTCTCTAGGCAAATTGGAACTGCAACCACTTGTATTTTACCAACTACTTGTATATCAAAACCATTTGCAAGCAGAGAGATGTGAACAATAAAAAAAAAAAAAAAAAAATCAAAGACACTTTTTTTAGCTTCATCCTCAAAACTATATAACAATTTCTGTTGATTGCACTTTTTTTTACCAGTAAAAAATGGTCTCAATAGATTACTTTTGTAATGAACAGAAAATTGAACTTCAATCCCTTCCTTTTAGTAACTATATTAAATTAAGGGTTTATTGCAATTATAACTAACTTAAAAATATACCAATATACTGGCTCTTACAGTGTGTACGTACCAGACATGTTCCTCGTTGCTCCAAAGTGCTGTGCAAAGTAAGGTCTACTAAAGAAATTATCAGCTTCTCTTTCAGCAGCTCGATCTGGTGGTGCCCTTGTTAAATTCGGACGGAAGCTCACTTCTGCTCTTGGTAGTCCAATATCATAAGGAGCTAGAAGACCTCTCCATGGGAATGGTGGATCTGAAGGCTGGCTTGGCCCCTCCTGAACCCCATCAGGAGGACCTGGAGAATCTTCTGAGTCTGGGCTTCGTCTGTCTACAGCATACTGACGTCCAAGCAGCCTTAATGGCACTCCTGCCACAGACCTTGTACTAAATTCTGCAGCATCATTGTAGGCTGATGATGAAACTATTGCTGCTGCAGCATTCTCCTCCTCTACTTGACTCTCACTCCCGTTGGGGTCACTGAGAGTGATCCTTGGTATCACCAAGTGTGGCCGAGGAGTGTTTGCACCAGAGCTGCCACTCCAACCAGATTGCCTACTATTTTGGTCCTGCTGACGTGCCAAATTTCCTGATCGTCTCAGGAAGTCTGTTAGCCGTCTTGGAACATTTGTTATGGGTCTTGTGCTATCCTGTGGTGGGGCAGGCTCTCCTGCACTGCCTCCTACTCCATCATTTCTTAATTCTTCACTAGCCATACGCACAGTTTCCAGAAGAGTAGTTAAATTATGAAGACCAGGCTCTAAATCCAAACTCATAGGTGGGGGAAGATCACCTCTTTGTCTCTCACCAATTGCACCCAATTCCTCATCTCGGAATGGATTTGGGAGTCTTGAAATGGGACGTTCCTCATACGATCTGCAAGACAAAACTCATATACTGATAAATATATACATTTAGGGGACCATCTCTTAAAAAGAGGGAGAGGAGCTAAGGGGTAAAATCTATAAATATCAGTAATAATATTAATAATAATAGTAATAATAATAATAAAAAGGTCACACCCAATTTCCTGCATACAATGCTTTTAAATTTTATATTAATCTTTTGGTACTAAATTTGTGAAGATTCCTTGATAAGAGATGATGCCATCTGCATTTTACAGCTGCTGTCACCATAAAGTAATATAAAAAATAACCTTTTGCATTATTCTCATCAATAAACAAGTGTGGAATGTAATGTGCACAAGCCATTACTGGAAAAGTGCCGGCTCCAGGGAGGACACCATTTCCATGCTCAACACTGTCTTCCTGGCCTCTGTGACCAGTGGCAGAGTTGTATTACAGAAAATTGAATAGTACAAAAAAATAAAATATATGATACAAAAAACAAAATGTTGCATATTCTCTTTTTCTTACACAAGACTTATTTACTACAAAGTGAGACAATATGGAGTCTGTACAAGGAAAATAATATTACTATCTGGATAAAGCAAATCAAAAGACAAATATAGACATTGGAAAATGGTAAAAAAAGCTAAAAAAAGTAATGCAAAATAACTTTGCAAAAGGGAGGCTTAGGGTCTTGTCACTGTGTTTGCATGGACCTGGCCTATATTGTAGGATTGTATTTCTGTCCACCATCACTGGCAGCACAGGTTGAAAAAAATTGAATATTAAAAAAAAATAAAAGGTGAGACATATAATCAAATGCAAATAAATGTTACCTAGAGAGATATATTGGAGTCTGTGCAAAGAAAACAGTCTATTACAATCTGGATACAGTATATCAAATGATAAATACAAACATTGAAAAAAAAAAAAAAAAAAAAAAAAAAAAAATGCAGAAAAAGGGATAATAATATTACGAGCCTGTGTGCCTGGCTTTAAAGCCACACAACTGTGAGAGTGGCCACTCAAGTAAGCTAAATGTACAGATTTTGGGCCATGTGTGGGTAGCAAAACACCCAGATACTAGGCAGTGAAGATTTTTTTGATAACTGATACAAGAGAATAATTTCTTGGAAGAAAGTTTTTGAATTTGTGTTGATTTTTTTCACAGAAAAAAAAGTAATTATTTACCCATGAGCGACGGTATATTTTGAAGCCGAAAATAATTGTTTCAGTCCATTTTAAAATCAGCGCACAGGGCTATCCCGGAATCTGCCTGCAACGGAATCAGAGCGCAAGCTCTGATCCAGCTAGTGGGATGCCCGGCAAAGTTTTTTTTTCTGGGTGTCTCATATGTGAGACAACCGTCATGAGTGAGTTTTAAAAAAATATATATGTAATATTCATTTTAGGGGGATTACCATTGTGTTCTATTTTTCATTGTACAATCCCAAAAAAATCTACAACGAATTTCACTGTATACCTCAAGACTATGGTATTATTGGTCAACATATTTTATTGAATTAGAATCCATAAATAAAATTGAAATGATAACAATCTACAAATATTAACTTACATGTTTTGGTTGCATATGAAGTTCAGAAGTTGGTAAATAAGGTTAAGTGCCAATCGAACTAATAGCCGCAAATCTGAAAGAAAAGATTATGTAACTAATATTTCATATTTTACATAATAGAAATCATTTTTTTTCACAATTAAAAAGTTATTTTATAAACTAATGGCCATAACAATCACCAAGAGCAAATAGCACACATGAGATGAAGTGCTTCAAGTACTTTTTACATTTCTTAAAACCTAATGCTAAAATGGAACCTCTTACAGACGAAAATGAATGAAAAACAATTCAAACTGAAACAATGAAAAAGAGAGGTTAAAAACTTACTCTGCATGTGGTTATCCATTGAACTGCTAGAACTATCTTGCTCTCCCTCCGCAGAGTCTGAGGACTGATGCCTTTCCTGCTGCCTCTGCTGCTGCTGTTCTTGTTCTTGGTTTACAAGACTGTTCAGGCGGTCAGCCATTCTCTGCAGAATTTGCCTGAGGAATATTTGTCCGATAAAAATATTGAAGAAGAAGAAAAGGTGTCATTCTTTAAGTTTAAAAACTGTTTAATTCCAATAGGAAAAATAAAGTTTGCAAGAATGACAAACAACTATCAACCAAATGGCACTGGGTACATGAACTAGCTGTCATACTGTTCACACCGAGTCAATTAGCAGGCCTACATGATCTCACCTGATTACCCTTTTCCTTGAGTTTTTTTCTGACACTATTGCTTTCCTTATTGATACTATCATTGTATCAACAAAATTATCATTACCTCTGCCAAGGTTATGTTTTTGGTAGCATTGGTTTGTTAGTTTGTTGGTTAGTAAGATAACTTGACCCACTAACGACGGGTGTCCCATATAAGAAACACCCCAAAAAATAAGCATTGCCGGGCGTCCCGCCAGTGTGACGCTGTATCGGAGCTCGCATTCCAACGCAGCAGTGGGCCGAGTCCGCCGCGGGGGCTGATTTTGTAGCCGCCCGGAATTTTTTCAAATTACCCGGCGTTAATGGGTTAAAGTTATGAACATATTTTTATGAAATTTTTACTAGAGGTGTGTCTTAGCCTATCTTAGATGCCTTTAAATTTTGGTGAAGATCTAGATCTTGCAGATGTGAGTTTTTTCCTAACTTAGATGCTATTAAATTTTGGTATTCATCCAGATCATGATCCATATCCAGGATAGTTGGCAGGATACCTCAAAAAGTTATGAACAGATTTTTAATAAAGTTTTAACCAGAGGTGTGTCTTAGTCTAACTTAGATGCCATCAAAATTTGGTGGTGGTCCAGTTTATGATCCATTAAAAAGTTTTTGCCCTTAGTCGATGGAGTCCATCGCCAGTTTATGATCCAGATCCTGCACAGAGTAATTCAAAAAGTTAAGAACAGATTTTTATAAAATTTTTACCAAACTTTTTAAAGGATTCATTAGCATTGCGAGATAGGACAAAATGGACATCACCAGTGTAATTGATAAAGAAGTGATTTTAACGTAATTCTTCAAGTGTGAATATTTTCATTGTGTCAGTGACTCTATTACCTTGGTGGAGGTATGCACTCCCTGAGTGCTTCCAGTTACTATTAACATTATGTTATCAAAACTTGCAAAAGTAAAGGAAATGGGTAAACAGGTGAGATTGAGTAGGCCAACAAAGTAGCTACTGTGAAAAAGGACTCGTGGTCCCATCTATATGGAAAAGAAAAGTAATAAACTAGTATCACAGTGGACTTGGCCCATAGGAACAAGCTCTCCTGGGACAGAAAGCAAAACTTTCATAATCTACAACAAACCTGTAACGATCTCTTCTCTCCCTTCGGAGTCCTTCTCTTAATAAAATTCGTTCAGTAGTAATGTGACGAGACCTAAGAGCTGCCATGGGTAAACGAACTGGACCTCCAGAGTTCCCAGGGATACGACCAACCGAATCTCTCCTTGCATTTATTATGTCTTGTCGTAAGCGACGCCTTGCATTGTGCCATGGACTAGAGTTATCTAGAAAGGAGTCTAAATTAATAACTACCACAAGCACTTGTAAAAGTTCAAAAGAGAAATTTCATGCATTCTTATATCAAAAATATTAACTCAGTTACTTCCATAATCAAAATCCCATATACTTACTATTTAAATCATTGCTTTGGGCCTCAGTCTCATCCAACTGCGGCAAAGGCGGGGGTACTGTTGGTGGAGGTCCTGGAGGAACAGGCCTTCGAGAAGGGGGAAGCCCACCCCATGGACTTGCTGATTCCATTGTTCTTTCAGACAATCTCTCACTATTTCTACCATGCTGTCTAGCACAGCTTCTCACTGGCAGCCCATTATTATCCAAATCTGACCACCTGTCTGACAACCTATCATATGGCCCATCACTTCTCCCACTTGACCTCCTTTCATTTAATCTGTCATATGAACTTGAGGATGGCTCTACATTGGGTCTATCTGGCACACTCAGCGGCCTGTCTGAAGACCGATGTGGAGGTCTACGTGTTGAACTAGCAGGAGACCTAGTTGATGAACCTGCTGCATTCCTGTTTAGTGCACGTGTTGCTGATCTATCATTCATGGTTGTAGAGGTATCAGATGTTTCATTTTGGTGATTTGTGCCTTCATGATCTGCAAATACCATAATTAATTATTCAGTATCTACATTAGGATCACATAAGATGCCAATACCCACTTCATACAGAACACTGAGAAACCTTGTAGAACTTAAAATAGGTAACAAAAGTTCTAGTACAGGCAGACAAATATAAAATATAGATATTAATAAACACAAAGCATTGGAAGGAAATTGGAGAGAATCAATTCAAATATCAACTGGGAAACAAATTATAGCCCACAAAATATCACATTGCCAATCTGTGAAGCAGACTGTCTACATAATCTGCTTATGCTGTTGACCATACAGCAGAAGTATTTATGTTACACAAGTCTGAAGTAATATTTGCGTTATTTACCTTGCATATCAAATGTGTTTTTAATTCTTCCATTCAATAAAGTTTAATTTCTAAACTGACCTGAACCAGCAGTACTTGTACTGGCACCATTAGCAACTTGATGAGCTATCATATTTGCAATTCTTGATGCTAAGGATGTAGTTGGCGGACCAGCTCGACGATATTGTTCTGCAAAATTATTATATTTGTTAGTGATCAATAAAGAAAGAAAAGAGGAGACAAAAAAAGAAATATGATAACTACAAATATTTCAACACACAAGCATCCAAAATACAGGTTGATAACTCTTTCTAACCTGGTGGACTTGGTGGGTCTTCTTCATGATCCTGGGATGCAGATGAAGTTACAGATGATGTTGTAGATGAAGCAGGTGATGATGCATTAAGGAAGCCTTGTAGACGTCTCTCCTGCTGTTCTAACGCTTCTTGTCTTTCTCGTAACCGTTCCTGAAGTCGCTCAAACGAATGATGTAATATCTGGGGATGCTAAAATCAATTACACAAAGGCTGAATAGTTAGTTTTACCAACATAAGAAATATCTATATTGTACTTTGTGCATCCTACATTACTAATTGTTAAAATCATTTGTAAACTTATCAAGGCCATTATGGTGAGTTTCCAGTTTTAAATAAATATCCTTTTTCTCTTTATGCAAAAGATATTTTCTCTTGAAAATCTATCTCTTGAACAAAACCTCAAAGACTGTTAACTGTACAATGGAAAAGACAGAGATAGATCAAAAGAAATATACACATATACATACATATTGTCCTTATAATAAACAAGGTGTACTTCTTTAAACTTACTGTGCGAGTGTGTGCACCATACTGGTTGCCAGATATAATGCGCACTATATCCCTGGGTTGTTCCTCAGAATCTCCTTGATCAGGTGGTGGTGTTGGCAGAGGCCCAATCACTGCTCCGGTGCCTGATGCTGATGCTCCAGGTTCTATTAATCCTCTTGTTGGAGAGGTTGTCCTGTCCAGCCCCCCTCCCAGTGCTCCACTTGCTCCATGATGGGATGCAGATAGCCCAGGTAAAGTAAGACGAGTGCGGACAGCACGGCGACGAGGAATGCGACGAAGCATGCACGGAGACATCACCCAGGGTCTGGCATAAAAAATGTGATTTGAGAAAGAGAGAGAAGGGGGGGGGGGACTGAAAGAAGAGAGGGGGAAGAGAGGGAAGGAGAGAGAGAGGTGGTGAGACAGACTGAGAGAGAAAAAGAGAAAAAGAGAGAATGACAAAAATGAAAGAAAAAGAGAAAGAGAAAGATCCTTAATCAAAATGTTACTAAGTATAATAGTCACCTGTGGGAATGTCTAGAACGTGTTCTGGTTCCAAAAGGTCCCCGCTGCAGCCGGGCTACAGTCCTGGGGCTTGTTCTGGACCAGTGACGAATCAGAGGCAGAGAGGACACGTTATCACTAGGACCAAGGCTGGGTGGCTGAGCACTAGGGTCATCTTCATTAGGAATACCAACCCTGAGAAATTGTTTTTAAAAATATGAGTACTATAATATGTCTGAAATATGCTGCAATGCTAAACATTTTTAATATTCATCTTTTCTGACTAGGAGTATTAAAATTTCTCTTATAAATTGTGTGGTTACAAGTAAAATTCCAATAAAATTATGTAAGGATGGTTGTATATTAATCCATATCACACTTGGCCAATTGCTGAGCTCACAGTTGGGCAATAATAAAATGGACTGAAAACGTGACTAAGCATCATCTGATATCTGCGATTTTTCATTATGTTGCTAATAGGTTAATTAAGACAGAAATCCTGAAACTTACCTCTGGCTGGTTGTAGGAGGGCTGTCTGCTGATGGACCATTTAAATCCTCCATAGACTGGTCAACAGAAACCCTCAGAGAATGTATCTGGTGCTGGATATCATATAACATAGAACGGATCTGCTGAAGGCGAAGTATCTCATGTCTATGCCGCGTTATTTCTAAATGTGCTCTGAAATGAAAAAAAAAAAAAAAAAAAAAAAAAAAAAAAAAATTAAAGCAACTGATTCCTTAATACTAATATAGCATGGTTTCACATACAGAATAATCAATAAAACCCTAATAAAAACACGTATAAGTAATTTGTTGATACAGAAATTAACTTGTATGAGCAAAATCCTCTATCATAGCCTAACACTGACTGTATACATCCATTCTTGCCATAGCAAACCAAACCTACGTCTGCAAGGCTACAAGACACATGTGATCAGAGAAGTTGTGTACCCTAAACTATTAATTGTATTTTTGCTCTGGCTGTAACCATCCAGGAGCCCCTCATAAGTGGAGATGAAATATCCTAGGCAGTGAATATGCATTCAAAATAATTTTTCAATGGCTATGAATTTCTGGTACGAAGACTGCTAATGGCTATACTTTCCAAACACACCACTAATTTCATGAGTTATTCCAAACGTAAATGGAAAATAATACAATTATCATAAAATATATAACACAAGGCTGTGTCATTCACATGAAGTAGCAGAAAAAGCATTGTATTGTACACAAAGGAATATTGACTGTAATAATATCAAAATACTCCAAGAGCTTTTTAACCTACTGATTAATCTTTAAGTAATATTCTGTTGTACTAAGGAATTTTTAAGAAATCTCTAGGCTATTCTTTACACTATCTGAATTAATTCACATCAACATAAAATTAGCTCTTCAACAATGAATAAGTCTTAACATTAGTTTGAATTACATCTCTTCCTACCTCAGCAATGTGATTTTCATTAATGACAAATTTTTCTCAACACATACTCAACTATAATCACAATTACAGTGGAAGATTCACATTGGACATGTACATAGATATAACAAAGAAAGGAGGAGCAGAACCCACATTTATATACATAAGGCATTTTTGTTTCAACCCTTTAATGATGGGAAAGTTAACATGGACATCCCATATATTCCATATGAAGGATACATCTCTTGTAATGAGCAGTCAGAATATATTAAATAATGTATTATTACTGTCCTCTCTCCTCCCATAGCACCTCATACCAGAAAGTGGACACAAACATCTGGGCAGGAGGTCTGTGCGACTCGCTCCTACACTTTGTCCAGATGGACAGCAAAGAGTACGGCATGTCAAAGCTATAACCAGTCTTGGATGCCCTTAATGACTTGTTCCTCAGGCAAGTTATTGCAGAAGTGCCAAGGTGATTGTCTTTCAAGACTTTAAAACGAGCATTAGGGCAAGATTTTGGTTGTGGTTCTGTAAGCTGTCTGCCAGCACCAGCCAGGAGGTTGGGTATACCTTCCTCTTTTCTAGGGGCCAGATTCACTTATATATGATTATGATGCATTTATCAGCAGTCAGTTACCAGCTAACTATCCACATAACATGTAAAGAAAACTCATGATCTTTTAATAATGACAACAGCCATGGCAACTTAATAGTATGTGTAGGAGATGGGAAGAATTTTATTTATCTATCAATTTAACTATTTATTCATTATTTTTTAAATATTTTCTAACCCACTAACAATGGGTGTCCCACATATGAGATACCCGAAAAAATAAACATTGCCGGGCATCCCGCCAGTGTGACACTGTATCGGGGATCATGCTCCAATGCAGCAGCGGGCAACGACCGGCGGGCTGATTTTGTAGCCACCCAGAATCTTTTATTTTCAGCTTCCAAATATAACGGCGTTAATGGGTTAATATCTATCATGTGTGATGTGTTACTACCTTCTTGGCTATTTATCATTTATTTTAACAGGAACCAGTACACAGGCCTTATTACGGATGGTGTGAAATCGCTCTCGCACGCCTTGGCGCATGCTTCCCTTTTCCTAGAAGTGTGATTTATCATACACCTTGATCAGGAATAGCAAACTATTTTATCATCTTTAATGTTAAGGACTGAAAACAAATAAGCAAACTCGATACTGTCTTCCAAAGTTTCTTACTAAATTGTAATGATTTCTTAGTTCTTAGCATCCTAGATAATATTTCTTAATTTAAAATAATTCACCTACAGTTCCTTGGAAACAATTTTTAAAACAAATGCATGAAATGTTAACCCATCCAAGGTAAAAGTTTGGCAAGTGGACATGATCGCGGGATTGTTGGCATGCATCAGCAGTTTCCCGTTTGTGCCCACCTCATTCGGTAGTTTGCGAGCAACATTCAGCACCTAAAAACTTTTATTTTGCTATAATTTGTAATACTATTATAAATTTGAAAGTTTACCTTCATTTTAGGTGCTACTGCCTAAAAATGCTACTATCGGAGAAAAACAAGCTTTGTCCAATGAGCCAATAGCGCGGGAATGGTCGTGATATAATGCCGTCTGCTACTTTGTCCACAACAGCCATGGCATTAAAGTAAATGCCACCCAGCAGCAAGGGGTTATGAAACTGACTTAACATGCACAATTTCTTAACTCAAGTATCATTTCTTGTTATGGGTTTGGTTCTGTATAGGAAAAGGTTTAATTGATAATTGGTTTCTTTTTTCTACAAAGTAAAGTCCAGGCAGTTCTTTTTGATTACTATAAAAGTGATTTTACATGCACTTCAATTGCACACCATCGCATGCCTGGAATGCTCAAGGAGTGCGATTTACACACATGCAAAATTTTTCCCAGTAATGCCTGAGTACAGTATCACATCAATACATCATCATCTATTACTCAAGAATGAATCACGTCCAAATAGTGTTCTTTCTTTATGAATCTCTTTACTGTCAAACAAGAAACCACTGCTAATATGACGGCTTTGCTATATTCATCATTAGTATGGCCAGCATCACGCTTTTTCCCACCAATTATGCCAGAGAAGAAAACATGTTTCAAGATTTCAATGATCTATTGATTCCTCAAATATGCTATTCACAGTCTACTGTCTGGCTGTAATTTTACCAAAATTTGTGTGGCCCTTTCTTCTTATTAGTTTCGAGTGAAATTTGTATTTCTTTGCACACAGAGAAATAATACTAAGGTAATGTTAATGAAAGTTATATGGGCTCTATTCATATTACAAATAAACAAAAACAAAAATACTTGCCTGCATATTCTTTGCATATTCTCAATGTGACGACTAAGAAGTTGTACTCCAAACTGTGGATCTAATGACGAAGACCTTGGGTACCTCGTCGCAGAAGAAAGTGAAGACATCTGAGAGCGTGGCATTCCAGACAACCCTGATGGCCCAGGCACTGCAAGATCCTCATTAGCATCACTTGGAGGAATCTCCCCAGTGTTGCCGAGTCTCACAGGATCAGTTCCCCTTGTTGCAGGAGCTGTTCCTGTACTCTGAGAGAGTATATGTGGATCACTAGAAGGTGCACCATTGTTCTCAACACTTTGTTGTACGGCACTTTCTTGCGAGTTTTCTGGTTCATCACTACCAATAACATTTTCAGCAGTGTTATTACCACTGTTTTCAATTTCTGTTTCAGTTCTGTTTTCCCTAGGCACTCTTGAGCGTCCTGGTTGGATCACAGAACCATTACTTGTGAAGTAACCCCACAAAGTACCTTGACGCTCTGATTGAGACCCTGTTGATCGAAGATTTGGTCCAACAGGACCTACTGTTACATCATCCTCATCACTGCCTCTATCATCAGTTCGTCTGTAATTTCTACGATCAAGAACAAAATTGTCTCCTCTCCTACTACCTGTAACCCCTTCCTCCCCACCCATTGGTGCTCGGAGATCCCCCATCCCACTGACAGCATTATCCCCTAAACTCTGTACACTAGAAGCCTCTCCCGCACTGTCAGAATCCTGCCCTGGTCGGTGAAGCCTTGAGGTCCACAGGAGTGAAAGGCGAGTATTTCTCTCGGAGATTCCACTTGTACCACTCGTCGCAGATGAGCTGGAATCTAAACTTGAAGATGATGCACTGTCATCACTAATGATCTGTCTCAGAGTCCGCACTGCACTAAGACCATAGTCCTCCTCCAGTCTCACATTTAGGTCATTAGTGGCTTGTGAATCCCGTCCAGAATGTAAGTCTTGGGACCCCCATGTGGTTCTGTTCCTTGATATTTCACCTGTTGATTCCTATAGCCAGACAATAAAAAAAGAAAGGTCTGAATACCCCATAACATGGGAAGGAAAAATAAAGCAAAACCATTCTCATACTATTTTATACCAAGAAAATTATTCTTATAATCAGCTGACTTTCTTTTACTTCTGCAAATTTACAAGAATTAAAATAACATGCCAACAGTTTAAATAAGAAAAATACAGATTTTTCCATCATACTTGACTTTGTAAAGTTGCTCTCCTCTCCTCAGTCACTTGTCTTGCAAACTGTCTAGCCTGGTTGAGCAGAGCTTGTTGCCCTTGAGTTGGAGGTGGATCTATCGGGTCTGTGCCCCTATCAATCTG